CAGGCGAAAACGTTTTTTCGGTGGGGGGGGAAGGGGAGGGGGGAGGGGGAGAAGTGGTTCGGCCACTGAGCTGCAAAACGGTCGGCCGCGAATTAGACGAATCCATTCGCCCGACTACGATAGCGTTTGCGCTCTTACCTGAGCACGGGTGATCACAGATATTCCTGTTAAAGTAGCTACTAAGCAGTAGGCAGGAACAAGGCCGCCATGAATGTGGCGGCGGGGTTTAGCTAGGAGAGTAGGCGAGAGTGTCGAGAGAAAAGAGAGTTGATTAGGAAGAGAGAGGAGTACAAGGAGGGGTTTGTACCCTCTACAGAAAGGTTCAGTAACAACCTACCAAGCCTATATAAATTATAACTTAGATAATTTTAACACACCCCCTAGGCTTGGTAGTGTCAAGCCCACTCACACCCCCACACCCACACCCACACCCACACCCACACCCCCTAGCCCAGCACCCCCATTCCCAGCAGGAGCCGCAACGACTCCGGAAGTGGACAGCTCCCACGGCCCTTGGGACGGCAATGGCGGCAGCAGCGACAGTGACGACAGCGGCGGCGGCGGCGGCGTGCGGCGACGCCCGGCCCGCGGCAACAGCGGCGGCATGAACGTCAGAGGCTGGTGCAGCGGCCCCCACCCTCTCGGCGGCATGTCCAGTCACCTTGGCGGTGGGGAGGGCCCTCATGAGCCAGTCGTCGGCTGCAGCAAGGAAGGGGGGATGCAGGGGAAGGAGGGGAGGTGGGGAGGGGGGGGGGGGGGGGGGGGGAGGGGCGCGCCGTAGTCCATAATCACGCCGGTGGCGATAGAGCGGGCGGCAGGTCCGGCGGCACCACTGACGTTGTGCGGCCGGCTGTCGCCCGACAACGCCGCCACGGCAGCCTTACGACGCCGTCAGGCCGACGACGCACCACGGAACCTCGACGACGCCACCACGGCGCGGCATCGTCGCTGCTGCTGCTCGGCGACGCTGAGACGGCGGCAGCAAAAAAAAGGAGCCGCCGCGGCATCTCGTCGGAGAAGTTGCCACGGCGGCAAGAAATTGGAAGACAGGGAACGTAAACGCAGCGGAAGCACGGAGGGGAGCAAGCCCAGGGAGGGCATCTTGCTCTGATACCATGTTAAAGTAGCTACTAAGAAGTAGGCAGGAACAAGGCCGCCATGAATGTGGCAGCGGGGTTTAGCTAGGAGAGTAGGCGAGAGTGTCGAGAGAAAAGAGAGTTGATTAGGGAGAGAGAGGAGTACAAGGAAGGGTTTGTACCCTCTACAGAAAGGTTCAGTAACAACCTACCAAGCCTATATAATTATAACTTAGATAATTTTAGCAATTCCCCTGCCCACCCAGCGTAGTGTCCGCAACATGGACCAGGCACAGTTCGACAGCTGTTGGCGAAATTCGCTGCCACGGGCGCTCGCCTTCAAGCTGTGTTAAATGATAACGAGAGACTTCGCGTCGAAGTTACCAAACTTCGCCAGGCACAACAGACTACACGCCAGAAGCCGCCTGCCCCTGAGGACCTGACCTGTACGACGCCAATAAAAAATACACAAGATCGGGTTCCTGGGAGGGATATCTTTTGGTGGCCAGGATCAACAGCCCTCGATCAATGGCATTGTGGCAAACAATGAAGATCGCATGAAGCAACAGTGTTTTCACTGCCACCAGCCGGGTCACGGATATGCTGACTGCCCTGACCAAAAGCAGAGGAAAAACAACGATGGGGATAATCCGAGAAACGACTCTTGTTAGTAGCAGATGGGCCCCCTATTGTCACGGCTGCATCGTCCGAGAAACAGCATCTCCACCGGGCAGTGGTACCGGTACACGCTATTGACCGCTCTCAGACGAATAACGGGGATGAGCCTGAGGATCGCACTGTGCTCGTAGAAGGAAGGGTTAATGGCAAAAAAAACTTAAAAATCTTCATCAATGGTGGTGCGAGCCATAGCCTGATTCACCGACGACAAGCTCTACGCAGCAGTCCCCGAAGATCTGGCGAAATTCATTCGTCAATTCCCATATATTTTTCTAGACGACTTGCCACCTGGCCTGCCGCCAGAACGCCCTCAAGACCATCAGATCGAACTCGAACCTGACGCGCAACCAAGTCTGGACACAGTGGCGGCTGATGCAATCAAAGCTCCTGGAACTACAGGACCAGCTGGACTACTTGTTGGCCGAGGGGTTCGTTCGACCGAGCACGTCCCCATTCGCAGCCCTGATCCTGTTCACACCCAAGAAGATGGGGGCCTCCGAATGTGCATCGATTATCGCGCCCTGAATCGGGTTACGATAAAATCTCTCTACCCAATCTCGCGTGCGGACGAACTGATTGACCACCTGCGAGGCGCTCATTATTTCTCAAAGATCCACCTTCGCGGCGGTTACCATCAGATTCGAGTCTTGCCACAAGACCGCAATTCGTACTTGCTACGGGAGTTACGAATACACTATCATGCCATTCGGGTTAACAAATGCCCCCTCGATGTTCCAGCTGGCGATGAACGGGGTATTCAAAGAATTACTCGATAAATGTGTAATAAATTATCTGGACGATATCCTGATTTACAGCACGACATGGGGAGCAGCACTTAAAGGACCTGGAAGCGGGTTTTCAGCGCCTGCAGCAGAATCATCTCATCACCAAAGGTTCTAAGTGCGAGTTTTTAAAACATAACTAGAGTTTTTGGGGCACGCTATTTCGACGGAGGGCATGAAGATTGACCCCCGCAAAATTCGGGCGATTCAGGAATGGAAGCCGCAGACCAACCTTTAGGAGCTGCAATCGGTTTTGGGGTTCGTCAATTATGTCCGCCGATTTATACCCAACATGGCGGGGTTAACTAAAGCACTGATTGACCTACTTCATAAGGGCGCTGATTATCAGTGGGAGGAGAAGCAGCAAGTTGCATTTGGCGGATTAAAAAATGGTTTAATCTTGCCACCAGTACTTCGGATTGCTGACCCAGAACGACCGTTCGAAGTCATGACTGACGCAAGTGACATCGCCATCGGAGCAATCCTGCTACATGATTTTGGCGACGGCCTTCCGCCAATCGTGTACAAGTCGCAAAAGTTACAGTCGGCCGAGCGAAATTATCCCTGTACACGACAAAGAAATGCTGGCGATCGTGCAACCCGTTCCAACCATCTGGCGATGCTACCTAATAGGAGCCGACGTGACTGTATGAACAGATCACAAATCCCTACAGTACCCGCGAGCGCTGCCGGAATCCCAACCCGCGGCAGTTTCGCTGGTTGGATTATTTGAGTCGAACTTTGCGTATCACATCACGTACGCGACGGGGTGCCAACAACATTGCTGACGCCCCTCTCCAGACCATATCCCCAAACCGCCCGCTGTATCAATCGTCCAGATGAAACCCGTTAATGAGCATACTATTTACCCACAGATTATTTCCTACCCGATCCCTTTTTCGTGAACAACGGCCACCAACAAGTCACGACGTGCAGGGGGAGCCTATTACGTAAAAGCGGAAATGAAACGAATTTAGAATCTGAGTTATCGTCTACTTCGCGAATTACTAATTCAAGAAGTCCAGGATTCAAACTTATCGAGACATTTCGGGGTTGAAAAGACTCTGAAGGCAATTGCAACGGTTTTATTACTGGCCGGACATGATTTCAGACGTGCAGAAGTTCGTGGGCGCGTGTCCGACCTGCCAGACGATAAAATCATCACGCCAGCAGAAGCCTGAATATGTATGTGATTGGTTCTAAACGCCTTGCATGCTGTTGACATGAGGATTTGAATACAACCATTATCGTAAGACATAATGGATGGAAATTGTTTTCCACGGTGCACGTGCTGCGTACAGCTTGCTGGTAGTCCAACTGGCGACATTTTATGGCCCTTGGGTCTCCATCTGGATTGCGACCCCTGTTCATTGCGACTGAGTGGCATACAAGGCGGTATTGGGTTTCAGGAAATCATCGGCGACTTTTGTCCAGCCACTCACGAATCCCAATGGGCCTCGTCAGAGATTTCATTTGGCAACGGGGCATTTTGTGACATTGACTGTACGCATATAGTATTTGTACGCCCTAACAGCGTAGTACAGCGTGTTGGATCCTAACCGAATTATGGATGGTAGGATAGTATCTGGATAACATGTTGAAGACTTAATGGCATATCTGTCAGCATATGTATAATTTTGTTATAGGCTAGATAGGTGCATGCTTATAGAGAGTACAACACCATAGCACAAACCTGCCTGTATGCCTCATTCTAGTCATTGCTTTATTTTGAGATGGTATCACGTTAGGTTAGGTCCCCCCTCCCCGCTTACGCTTCCGCCCCTAGCCCTAACCCTAGCTCTAGCCCGTGTCCTAGCCGTGCCCTAGCCCCAGCCGTGCCACGCCCTAGCCCTAGCCGTGCTGCGCCGCGCCCCGAGTTGCGCCCGCGCCCTAGCCCTAGCCGCGACCAAGCCACGCCTGCGCCGTCCGCGCCTTCCGCGCTGTACGCGCTGCCCGCGCCGTCCGCGCCGTCCGCGCCGTCCGCGCCGTCCGCGCCGTCCGTGCCGTCCCCGCTGTCCGAGGCCGAGACCGCGCCGTCCACGCCGCTCCCTCACCGTACGCGCATGCACCAGACCCACCAGGCGCGCCAGCCCCACCATTCTGCACCGGCCTTGCCACTTCGCCCCGGCCCCGCCACTTCGCCGGACCTCCGCCACTTTGCGCCGGCCCCTGCCGCCGGCGCCGTGCCGCCGAGCTGCGGAGCCATCGAGCCGCCGAGCCACAGGGTAGCCGCGCCGCCGAGCTGCAGAGTAGCCGCGCCGTCGAGCTGCCGCCGTCGAGCCGCCGAGCCGCAGAGTAGCCGCGCTGCCGGAGCCGCCGAGCCGCCGCGCCATCGTGTCGTTGTGCCGCCCCGACCCGCTGGCCCTGGTTCCCTCTTCTGCGCCGGCGCTCCCACTGTCCGTCTTCACCACCCCTCTCCACCACTCCCAACCTCTATCTCCTCCTCCTCCTCCTCCTCCTCTTGCGACAGTCCGCTGCTACAGCCGTGGCGATGGCGGACGCTGTGCTCCGCCTGAAGGCGGAGGGTCGGGCGATCGACTTTGGAGGCGTGGCTCACCGAACTCTGCCGCTTGCTGAGGGGACAGCGCCAGGATGGCCAGTCCCTGGCCGTTCACGTCGACGGTAAGATCCCCTTCCCCGACCCGCCTGCTGCCCTCTCTGACGCCCCCGCGCCGCTGAACGTGAGGCCTTTGGAGTTGCTGAGCTCGCCCACTCCGCCTGGGAGTCGCGCGACAAAGTCGCATAGCTTGCAATCAGTCGCGCCCTCCCCCTGTCTGAGCGCCCCCGCTACCAGGCCCTAGAGACTGCGCAGGAGTACTTAGATGTCATCATTGCGGGCTATTCCTCTCCCTCATCCGCCTCTGCCAGCCGTCTTCTTCTCCCCCCTGGTCTTCCCTGACCTTGCGTCCTTTTGTACTGTCGCTGATCTCGCCACTCACCTGTGCGTGCTAGAGGCCAGCTACCGCGCTGCTAACACTGAGGCTCAACTCCTTGTACTGCCTCCCCCCTCGGCGCTACCCTCTACTTTCTTTGCCACCCGCCTTCTTGATCGCCTGGCCACTGCCCGCGACCACTTCTTTGGCCTCCACCTCGTTGAATTTGTCACTACCATGTCCGCGATATAGACCCGCCAGTGCGCTATCGCCCAGTCGAGCGGTACTTGGCGGCGGTCCCTATCTTCCAGGGCTGTGCTCCCTCCCTGCGCACTTACTATGACGGCTCTGCCGCTGTTGCTGAGTCGGCCAATGCTGCTGAGACCGCTACGGCGGCCTCAGCCCAGTCTCGTCAGGGTTGGGGACGCCAAGCCCGAGGGGGGGGGGGCGTGGCGGCAAGAGGGGTGGCAGGGGTGGGGGGGGTAGCGGAGGTGGCGGAGGTGGTGGAGGGGACGGTGATGCGGACGAGGGGACCAGGGCTGGTGCCCCGGCGCAGCATTAGCCTTAGCAGCAGCAATAGCCGCAGTAGCATTAGCAGTTGCAGCAGCAGCCATAGGGACCCTTGCCACCGTGGTGACCTGGAGGCTCTGGTGGTGGGCCGCACAGCTCGGTGTCGGGTGGCAAATCCAGTGTGGTCACCTGCCAGTGCCAGCTTCAGTACGGCCCCCGCTGCGGCACAGTCTGTGACTGTCACGGTCACAACGCAGCTCGCTGCTACCGTCGCCTCAACGACCTCTTCCGTCTCCGGTTCGGCCTTATGCTGAACCCCCTGACTGGCACAGCCTGGTACGTCACCGTGTGTTGGTCTTTGAGATGGATATGGATAAGGTTACCTCTTCTATATATTCCATATATGCTGATGAATCTAGTGTGACTGGACCTTATTACCCTGTGTTGCCTAGTATAGGTTTGCCCCTTGTGTGTAGTCAAGGCTCCCCTGCTGCGTCAAGCGTAGGACCTCCTAATATGTTCAGCATAGGCTCCACGCTAGCCCCTCTGCCGGCTGCCGCTACCGCCGCGCTTTCTTTCACGCTAGACTCTGGTGCGTCCGCCTGCTTCTTTTGTGACCAAACTGTGCTCACGCCGGTTGCCTCCCCTGCCGCTGTAGCGCTTGCTGACCCCTTCTCAGTTCCAGTAGTTGCAGGTAGCTCTACTACCCTTCCCTGTCAGGCAGTTCCCTCGGGCTCTCTTCCAGGCTTACACATCCCCTCGTTCTCCAGGAACTTAGTTGGTGTCGGCCGTCTTCAGGACCTCAACGTCACCACTACGTTCCCTGGACACGAGCGGTACGCGGTCTGCACCGAGGCCGCCACTGGTTCCCCTCTCACCACGTTCCCCCGTGACCTGGTGTCTGGCTTGTTTATGCCTGACACCGCGTCCCCCCGGTGGGGGCGTCTCCCCTCGTGGCTGCACCCTCCCAGGTCGCTGCGGCTTGGTCGTGTTGGTCGCTCACTCACCCGTCGCTTCTGTTGCACCACCACCTAGGTGACCCCGCACTCCCGCGTCTGCATCACATGTCCCAGCACGATCTTAACTTAGGTCTCCCTACGTCGCTCCCTGCTCTTCCTCCCTCGCTTGCGCCGCCGTGCACACCCTGCGTCGAGGATCGGCTGCACTATGCTCCTCACTCTTCCTTGCTTCCCCCTGACACTGCACCATGCCAGACCCTGCACCTGGACGTCTAGGGCCTAGCCCCCGTCCCTGGGCAGCGTCAAGAGCGCTACTTTCTAGTGCTTGTCGACGACTATACGCGCTAGACCACAGTTTTTCCTCTGGAGCAGAAGGCCGACGTGCCTGACGTTCTTATCCCGTGGGTCGTAGCTGTACGAGTCCATCGCGGTCTCCCTGTGCTGCGTCTTCACTCCGACCATGGCGGCGAGTTCACCTCCGGCCGGCTTAGCGAGTTCTGTCGTGCGGAGGGCATCACCCAGTCGTACACCCTGCCGGACACCCCGCAGCAGATTGGGGTCACTGAGCGACGCATTGGTTTGGTCATGGAGGTGGCTCGTACCTCCATGATCCATGCCGGTGCACCCCATTTTCTATGGCCGTTCGCTGTTCGCTATGCTGCTCACCCGCTTAACCTGTGGCCACACTCGCAACGACCGCAGGTTTCGCCGACCCTCCTCTTGACCGGGTCCCCTGGTGACGCGTCTGCGTTCCACGTCTGGGGCTGCCTTGCTCACGTTCGTGCCTCTGGCACGAACAAGCTCACTGCCCACACTGTCCCTTGTGTCTTCCTTAGCTTCCCCTTAGACTCGTCTGACTGGCACTTTTACCATCCGTCGTCTTACTGTTTCTTTCACTCTCGTGACCTCATTTTTTACGAGTCAGTCTCCTTCTACACGTGCTTTCCCCACCGAGGTCTCCCGGTTACCCCGCCCCTGTTTTTGGTTTCCACTCCTCGAGTAGCCCTTGCTCCTCTCCCTCCCCGTCCTGCCTCGTCTGGTGTGTCTCTTTGTAACTCCCCTCTCATCGGTTGTCCCGGTGGAGGAGTCGGCTGACTATGGGGGACCTGCGGCTCCCGTTTTGCCACCTATCTCCGCCTTAGTGTCTCCTCCTCCGCCGCCGCAGCAGTCGCCGCCGTCGCCGCAGCAGCAGCAGCAGCAGCAGCCGCCATCACCGACGTCGCAGCTGCAGCAGCAGTCGCAGTCGGCGTCGCCGCAGACGCAGCTGCCGCAGGGGTCAGCGAGCTCTGAGGGTGCGGGCATTGAGGAGGGTGCTAGTCCTGGGGGTACTGTCGTGGCTTGTCCCAGTGGATTGGGGGTGGCATCGGTACTGGAGAGGGTTCTTATTCTCGGGGTGCTGGTTCTGGGGGTGCTAGTCCTGGGGGTACTGTCGAGGCTTGTCCCGCCACTCCTGGGTGTGGCACCGGTGCTGGAGAGGGTTCTCGTTCTGGGGGTGCTGTCGTGGAGTGTCTCGGAGGTAGCCGTGGTGCGGCTGGAGGTTCGGGCGTTGGCGTGGAGCAGCAGCAGCAATCGCCGCCGATGTCCGCCCTTCGCTTCGTGGGTCTTTCCTCCTCCGACCGCCGGCCTGTGCCTCCCCCACTGCCGCCTCCCCCGACTGTGTTTCCTTCGCCGAACTTGACTCAGGCTCGTTTCCCCCCTCGTTCTCGTCCTCTCTCTCCTCCCTTGACCCGACCCCCCCTCTCACTGGTGGTCTCACCGTGCCTCTCATGCACGTCATGTTTCTCCTATCCTGTGCTCTCACCCTATGTTGCTCCGCTCTCACGCGTCTCGTGCTCCTCTTCTACTATCGCCTCCTCATTTGTCGCTTGCGCCTAAAGATCATCAGCGGCACTGTGTACAGCTTGGTCTAGTTCCAGTAGCTCCTCACTTGCTAGGACCTTGATTGTGTACTTTTCTTTTATATATTCTCATGACTGGCCTTGTGGCTTCTGTTCCAATGACCGGACTAGTAGTGCCGCCTTGGTTTGCTCTTGTCTAGTTTGTACTCTTCTTACTGGTCTTTGGACCCTTGCCTCAGAGGTTGGACTAGTAGTGCCACCCTGAGTTGCATGTCTCATGCTAGGCACTGCCCCTTGTATAACCTAGGGGGTGTGTCAACATATCTATATATTGTTATAGGCTAGATATGTGCATGCTTATAGAGAGTATAGCACCATAGTACAAGACCCGCCTGTATGCCTCATTCTAGTCATTGCGTTGTTATGAGAATATCAGCTGTAGCCTTTTGTTTTGTCTTACTGGTGCTGTAAAGCTACAAGCGTCCTCCTCACACCACCATCTTTCTAATGTTCCATTGTCAATTTCACTTCACCCTCCACATACGAGCCATGTCTCTACTTGCGTTTGCCACCTAGAGATGCTCATATTGGACATAACAAATGTAGAAATGAACCACAAGTAAAAGTCAACGGAAGACTTTACACCTTGTATTGGAAATGTCTGAAATGACATGGATAATAATACTGAGTAATACAGTCATATTTATAGTATAGTCTAGGAAGTCATATCGGTCTCGCGTTGTCGGACCGATAATATTCTTCGGCTGCATCTGCTTTGTCTTGAGTGGCGAAACTCCGCTCGCCACTGTAGCGATCATGATCCCGCTGCTGGTGTTCTTTGTCGCTTTCGAAGTCATCGAGAAAATTTTTCTCGTAGAAGATGCAGTCTCGGGAATACAAAAACTTTCGGGTTTTGTAATCCATAATTATTGAGGAGTAGGAATCTTTAAGTACATCGATGTGTATTCCTTATCGACCTGCCCACAGTTGCGCTCGGAGGTCAGTATTGGACCATGCAGCCCCAAACTCGTAACAGTCAAGTGTCGGCGGGGTGTTTTGTCCACATGATATGTGGCGAGCTGAACTGAGGAAGAGTTGTTCAAGACAAGCAGTTGTGTAGGCGGACAGCTTGTGCCATCGCAAACGGCCAGAAGTCTGCTGTCAAGTTGGACTGTTACAGCAGCACACGCATCTTCTCTTGCAGCATCTTGTTACCGTATTCCCCCAGATATACGCACCGCCGGCTAAAACACACCATGGTGCGTATATCCGGAGGGGTGCCATATCGGAGGTGCCAAATATACGCACCCTTATAATCACTAGTTTCTAATCCCCATAAGCACCCCCCCCCAAAAAGCATCGATTTCTTAAATTAACAGTACATGAATTAACAGTTCATTAACAGTTTCACTTTTTAATTAGATGTACGAAGTCACATCTATATTAGTCAACTTCTACAGTTAGATCATCTACCATGCTCTACAGCCTACACCTCGACTACCTAAATAGATGCACAGCCTCCAATTTCTATCAGCTTCGCCTCGTCTACCATGTCCAACAGTCGTCGCCTCGTCCAAGTGCACTCCCTTCTCCCCTTCGTGTCAATCCTCCTCCTCCTCCTCCTCCTCCTCCTCCTCCTCCTCCTCAGCTGTGGTCGAGTTGTCCCCCATGAATTCGTCGGCCCCGGTCTCATCGTTAACATCCACGGTGGCCTCCTTGGGGTCTCTCATGTGCCTCAAGCACAAGTAGTCTTTGGAGCCATCCAGGGCATTCGAGATGCCGCAGGTTTTGAATGCCTTCTAGATAAGGGCAGCAGGGATAGCCTTCCATGCCTTGAAGACCCATTTCAGGGTCTCCTCTGGTGGCGGCTTCCTCAAATTTCGTGCAGCAGACAAAGAACACATCATTAGTTATTGGTGTGAAGATGGAGCATAGCAGGCACGACAACAAGGAACAAGCTAACCTTTGGGGGTGAAGATGGTGCAGCCGATGCGGTCGAACCACTCCTAGTAGTACGAGCGAAACAGCGCCTTGAAACTGCGGTTCACGGCCACGTCGAGCGGTTGTATGACCGAGGTGCAGCCGGCAGGGATGATGCCGGCCACCACGTGGAGCTTGCTGTAGGAGTCCTTCACTTCAGGGGTGAGATGATCGCGGTAGGAATCCAGGATGAGGAGAGCAGAGCGGGCATGGAGGCCGAAGTTGGGCTCGATGAATGGCCTGACCGCCTTCTCAAGCCACTCTATGACACCAGCGGAGTCCATCCATCCATTTG